TAGTTCATATCGCAACCACCTGCTGCACTTTGGCGAAAACATCTTTATTTTCATATGATTTTAGAGGCACATTTCTTGTAGTATCGACTCTTTCAGATTCAGCGCCAGCAACTTCAACGCGGAAGGTTTGGTCTTGTGACAATCGAATGCTTCTTCTTTCATCAGGTGCATCTGATACAAGGGGAGCCAAGAAATCTCCAGGTTCCTGTGAGTCTCGTTTGCGCCTCATTATTTCAGTATCTTCCCTCACACCCACTAATGGCCCTGGAAACCCACGATCTCCTTTCTGCCCCTTATTGCCTTTCGCCCCCTTTCCGCCACTTGCTCCCAACGTTCCTGGAACTCCTCTGTTCCCTCTAAAACCTTTTTCTCCTTTCACTCCTCCTGGGCTTCCTTCATCTCCTTTTGCTCCTTTACTTCCTATTCCAGGTGCGCCGTCATCCCCCCTTGAGCCTTTTGTTCCCACTGATCCAGGTAGTCCAGTTATCCCCTTCGAACCTTGAGGCCCCTTCGGCCCTGGAAAACCACGTACGCCTTCACCACCTCTAATACCTTGGTCTCCATCAGCTGTTTCTCCTTTAGATCCTTTATTTCCGGGAAGCCCATCTCTCGTTATCCCTTGATCTCCCATGGAACCTCTTATTCCAGGGAACCCTTCCTGTCCCGTAAGACCTGGAAGACCCTTCATACCTGGAATGCCTGGAAGTCCTCGATTCCCTTTTAATCCGCTAGGTCCTTGTTCCCCTCTCTCTCCTTTCGTCAGTCCAGGAAGACCTCTATCACCCATTTCTCCTGGATCTCCTCTTAGTCCTTTCACACCGTCAATGCCAGGCCTTCCCAATTCCCCTTTGAGTCCTTGAGGTCCTATACCTCCTGGATTACCCCGAAAACCCTGGTTTCCAAAATTCCCTTTATCTCCAGATGGTCCCTGTGGACCTGGCGGCCCCTGTGGCCCAGGAGTGTCTACGCGCAGAGCTGCGTAAAGTGACTCTAGTTTACCTCCAAGTCCTGTCTTTTTATAGAGGTCACGTTCATGCTCGTCCACGTCTACAAAAATTACAAACGTTTAATTAGAAGCCATGTTGCTTACAATTCACGTTAAACTTGACAATGATGAATTATAAAAGGTTAATGGTAGTTATACTACTTGCGTTAGGTTTGAATAATCATTGTGTTGGATATCGCTGCAACTTGATGACATCTGGTAACGCCATTAACAGCCCATTCGAACTCATGTGCTTCTAGAGCGTAGGGAATCATAGGAACGTAACAGATGGGCTTTAAAAATGAACTTTAGAGCGAATGAAACATGGTGCATATGTCGGTATTCATACAGTTAACCAGGAAATGAAACTGCGACAGTAGGAGCTCAACGATTACAACGAACATCCTCAATTAGCAAAAGACTGGGACACTGCAGCCTTTCAACTTCATCAGAAATTTGAACCACTCAACAAATAAACGAATCAATTAGTCGACTGAATCAATAGCGATGGTATAATATAAGAAAAACTTGAATTACCAACTGTACAGAACAAGTTGACGATTATCTTAAGAACCATTGTTCTGATGCCTGCCTTGAAGGGAAATATAAAGAATAAGCCTTTCAGGTCCTTGTTAACAAAATGTACCGTAAATCTAAATGTTACATCTTTAGAGCGGGTGATTACAAAAATAAGGGATCGCATGCATAGAAGAAACATGGTTGTTTTCATTAGAATATGAAAAATTTAGCAGAAGCTGATTTTTATTTGGTTGAAGGGCCGGCTAGGGAAGCAACAATATTAGGAGTTGACAGATCTCTTTAGGTTTTTCATCTTCATCATCTTCCATTGCCCTTCGCTTTTCAGGTCGCGGAAGCATCAGACAATGCCTCCCAATCCTTGGCCACAGACAGAGCTTTGGCAGAAGACAACTGGAGTCTGGGACAGACACTTTCCATATATTTGCACCAGATTAATCTTGTCATTCCACTGAGCCCTCTGACGGTCAGATTTCCAAGAAACAGCTGCTTAGACTTCCTTTCCAGAGCTATTCGCAACACATGGCCAAACTATCGCAGCTGTGATTTTTCAATCTGGAGAAGCAAAGGCTGTTTTCCAAGGCTGTTCCGGACATCAGATTCTCCGGACCATGTCGAGACGCGTAAGGCCAGCGACTCGTCTAAGAAAGCCCATTTCAGCAGCTTGTACCCTTCGAAGAGGGGTTCGACTTACGACAGTAGGTAAGCATGAGCATAAAGATCGACCTGAACACCAAGAGCTCAGTTTTCAGACTGAGCTCTTCTTTAGTCATAATGGGTCAAGCTAGTTCACGCAGAACGCCACTCGCTACTATAATTAGTCGATCGATCTCTTCCTCAAATTTTCCATCACTAGTAAATACGATTCCGAGATAACTGATCATCACTTGCTCCACTGACTCTCTATTAGTCTGAAGAGATCAACCGGCTTTTGAACGCGAAAGCACTAGGCCTTTCTTTTTAGATGAGTTCACAAGAATGTAGGACACGTAGCACTCGGTTGCGAACCTTTCTAGGGAGCATTGTAGATCAGTTTCAGAAGATGCTAATAAAACAAGGTCGCCTAGAAACAGTAACCTTCTCGTCTTCATATCTCCTACACCCATACACTCATCGCCCTGGCTGTTCCTGATTATTCCATCCATGTACAACACAAACAGGATAGGGGACAGGAGGCAGCCTCGGTGGAGACCAGTGCAAACATTGAATGTTTTTGACTTAACGCCATTAACTCTAACGCAGCACCTGCTATCAGAATACAGTGCCAGTGCCCTTAGCAGCTGGCCATCTATCCAGTATGCACGAAGGCATGCCCACAGACTGTTGCATGGGATCTGGTCATAGGCTTTTTCTAGGTCCACAAAGCACAGATACACCGGACGTGCGTACTCGAACGATTTCTCAACAGTGTGGCGCAGGGCAAATATATGGTCAGAGGTGCTTCGACCGGAACCGGAAGCAACACTGCTCCTTTTGTACCTTGAGGTCAGTTATTTCGCGGCACCTCCTTTCTAGCACGTTTGCATAAACTTTTCCTTGGAGGCTCAATAAAGTAATTCCTCTATAATTGAAGCATTACTTGTGGTCTCCTTTCTTGAATACGGGTACAGTAACTCCCGTTCTTCAGTTCGCTGGTATCTTTCCCGCAGTCATCGCAGCCTGACAGACACGTGTAAGTCAGCACATGCCTTGCTTGCCTAATGTCTTGAGCATCTAAGGGCGGATTTCACCAATTCCAGCAGCCTTTCCATTTTTCAAGCTTTTCACAGCTTGTGTAATTTCATCTACGTAGATAGTAATACCCGTTTCGTGCTGCTCTAACAGGCGAGTCTTCCTGCGGTAGCACGCGGTTAAGGAGTTCATCAGAGTACCCTCTTCATCGTCGAAGAATGTTATCATCCTTGGTAAGAGAGTGTCCAGATCTGTCCTTCACGACTCTGACACTGCCCATCTTTTCACCTCGGAAGGTCTGCCAGAATACTTTGTTTGCCGTGTGAAAATTCGACTCCAACATCTCACCCAATTTCTCCCAGGAATCAGCTTTGGCTTTCGCCACTGGTTTCGCTGCCGCCTTGCAAGCCTCGACATATCGCACGCCAGTAAAAGGTTCTTTCTTTTAAGCCACTTCTTGAACGCTGCTTTCTTGCATTTAACTGTCCAGTGTACCTCTCGTGTCCACCATGAAGATCTTTGCTGACCTCCAGGCGGCAGGCCAACCCGTTTATATCCGCATTATTCGGCGGCAGCCTAGAGTAGGCCACGCTTAAAAGGCTGCCACTCGGTTTCAACGTCAGTTGTCATCACTGAGACCTGTTCAAACCGTCGTGAGATGTTGTTTGCAAATTTCGCTCTCGGGTCCCATTTGATTCTCCGATTA